GGGGCAAAGGTGGGTGGGAGATGATCTGAACAAGATACCTACATATATTCCTGTTTATTTCAGATTCATTTATTCATTTGTTCATTCTTTCATTTATTCGCCCATCTTCAAACATGTAGCTCCTATACCTCTCAGACACTCTACCAGGCCAGTTGGGCAGACAGATAAACCTACTGCCAGCCTCAAGCAGTTCAGTTAGAGACAAGGTAGCAAATTATGACGCTCTTTAGACTCACTTGTGAGAATACAGATTTCTAGGCCCCATCTTAGATTTTCTGAATCAAATTGCCAAGAAGGAGAGTTTCAGAAACTATAATTTTCATCAGTTTTTCAGATAATTCTTTGCAGTCAGCACTGGTCTGCAGACCAGTGTTAGGAAACCACTGGTAAGAGCTACGTGATGCATGAAGAAAAAGCTAGGAACCAAATTGCAATGTAAATGCCAGGCCAGCTGACTCCTCCTCTCTCCTTTCCCTCCTTCTGGGAGCACCCAAGTCAGGGATAGATTTCTAGTTTTCTATTGATGCCTAATAAGCTGCTCCCAAACTTAGTGCCTTATAGCAGCAAACAACAATGGATTGTGTTTCACAATTCTGTAGGTTGACTGGGATCAGCTGGGTGGTTCTTCTGTTTCCCATGGTCACGCAGGGTGGCTGCATTCAGGTGGGTGCTTCGGTAAGGCTGAAATGTCCAGGATGGTCTCTCTATGAGCACCTGTCCATGAGCTCTCTCATCATTCAGTAATCTAGCTCAATCCTCCTTACCAGCTTTGCAGCTGACTCCCAAGAAAGAAAAACTGATGCTGACATTTTGTTTAAGGCTTGGTCTCAGAAGTCCCAGAAAAGTACTTCTAGAATATTCTATGCTCAGAAGTTCCAGAAAAGTACTTCTATAGTATTCCAGGCAAAACAAGACACAGAGCCAACCCAGATTCAAAGGAAAGGAGAAATAAACTTATCTCTAAGTGAAAGAAGCAGGAAAGAATTTGTGGTCATATTTAATCCACCATACATTTAAAAAAAATTATGCTGACTTATAAGGTGTACCTGACCATAGACTTCCCACATGACTCCAGTGTAGGGGTTTCAGACATGGTTCTAGAAATCAGTCACCTTAGACCAAGGCCTTGGCCAGTTGTACAAGTGGCCATAAATGAACAATAAAATTTAATAGACACAGGCTGTAAATATAAGATGGGTCACTCCATTGTGACTACATAAAAATGAGCTAAAGATAAATAATGAACAAACAAGGCATGAAAATGTAATCTAGTGTTTTTGCCAAGAAGGGAAGCACAGTACTGGATATATCTAGAAATCCTAAAGCATGATAAAGCCATGACTAGAATATCATATCCAACTTTGGCCCTTAGCATTAACAGTCAGGCTTGTTCAGGCTAGGAATAGAAATGAGTTTTTTCTTTCTCCCGTTTTCTTTTCTCCTGTTCTTTCTCCTTTCTCCCAGAGTCAATGGGTCAGAAGACCCAGAGGTAAGTCCCAGTTCTGCCCCTAACTTCTTTGTGACTTTGGGCAAGTATTTACCTTTTCCGTATATCGTCCATCAGGCATCACCCCTATAAAACTCAACATTTAAAGGAATCCTAGATGGGAAAGTGTTTTGGAAAGAACATTACCGATGGTCTTGTATTATTCTTTGAGGGTCCTGCCTGCTGCTCAAGGCAGGAGGATTGCAGCCCACTCTTTCAGTTCAAATCCTAGTGTCCTGCTTGTGGGGAGGGATTCCATCAACCCAGCTCATTTTAATGTATAAAGAAGTAAGGGTAATGGAACTTTGGGTTAGGGGGCGGGGGTGCACTGGGCAGGTAGAGATGGCAGCATTCAGGATATTGGGAGACAGGGGTTTTTCACTGTTGCAGTTGGTTAGAATATGTGTCAGGAAAACATGGGCAAGGATTTGTTAGGGTTTTGAATCTCTCTGATAGAAAAGGTTATTTTCTAAAATGTTAGTGAAAATAAGAAATAAAATGCTAATGAATATAGCAGGAGCATGGACTTAGATGTCAAATTACCTGGATTTGAATGCCATTTCACCACTTGTTAAGTCTGTGAGACCACAGACAAATTATCTAATACTTTCAAATTCCAGTTTCACCTTCTGTAAAGTGGGGATTTTAGAAACTATCTACCTTGCCGGGCCATTATCAAGATTAGATGAAACATTCTATGCAAAGTGGCTGGAACATACACATGTATGGAATAGTAGTAGAGTAGTAACGGTAGAATCATACCTACCTAAATTAAATCCTCTAAGTTTCATTTTCCATTCAATAGAATGGCATAGTAATCTATATCACAAGGCTGTTCTCCCAATTTTTCTTTGGAAGCCAAATGATGGTGTATGTCAAAGAACTTTGTAAATGTATAAACTTTATCCTGATGTCAGTTATTACTGACTGTGAAGATTCAGCTACTGTCATGGGCTTCAGGGCCCAGCTCCATCTCCCTTTCCCCATGAAACACATGATGGCCCTTCTGCTTTGACTTTGGCCCCCCAATCTCCAGTCCCTCCAGTTGTTGAGTCAGATCATCCTCCAGAACTGAAGGGACCAAGGACATCAGTTCCAGACGCAAGATATATACAGGCCTTTCTCTTGTCAGGTGACTGCAAAGGACCCTAGAGGCCATGATGGAGAGACATACTCTAAAAACTACCATTAAAGACCTATCTGAGGGTTGTCAAAACTGTCAACAAGGAAGGTTGTCAAGTTTCACTCCTTGAGGTTTTTCAAAACGAGCCTTGCCTGAAGATGGAGCCTTAATTATATGACCTCTCAAGATCACATCTCATTAAGATTCCATGTCACTTCCTGAGTTTGTATAGTCTCTCTTTTGAGAGTAAGGCTCTTCAGTAATTAAACATCTGAAGGAACTGAGCATTCATTATCTGAGCATTAATTCTGAAGACAGATCAGGGGATTCTGTAATTTCAAATCATTTTGGTAAATGATCATTGGATTACTATCCAGCTGATGGAATTAGAAACACATCTTTGAACTCCAACCTTGTTCACGTCCCTATTCTTAAGGTTTCTCTGTATAAAGGTCTTTGATTAACTTCCTTTCCAGACGCTTGTTGGATTTCCTTTGTAGACATGCCAGTCCCCTCAGTGACAGAGGGAACTCTGTAGGGGCCAGGGCCTGTCTTGTCCTTGTGTGTCTCTTACTGCCTGTCACTACTCAGGGTACAAATAGTAGAAAGTAAATAGTTTGTTTTGTTTTTAATAAACAAATGAGTGAAATTTCAGGGGAACTGTCAATTGATCATGACTAAAATTGGGACTGCTACTAAAGGATGTCAGCCATACATCTTGGATTTGCTTTGTGGTTGTCTGTTATCTGGAAACAAAATAATTAACAAACATTTTGAAGTAAGCCTTTCTGACAATTCCGTATTAATTTTAGTGAAATTAAGTCCATTTCTGGAGTTTGCAGAAGTTATTCCAGCAAGTGAGTTTTGTCCACAGAGGATAAAATAGGACTTCCTTTCCACACCACTCAGAAAATGGGACAGAGGAAGATCTCTAGACATAGCAATGAAAGCGGATGTGAAATTCATGTTCTAGTCCTGTGTCCTCTGCTTTGTCATCTGGTTAAGATAGAAACATCCAGTGAAATTTGACCTGATTAATATAGATCCATTTTTCTGAGCCAGAGATTTCCTGAAAGAGGGTGGTAGACTGAAGTCCTAAGATTTGAATCCTGATTTTGAATTAATTTAATACCATGGACCTCAGTTTCTGTGTGGGTACAATGGGGGTGGAGTGGAAAGGGGAGGCTCTAATGTTCTATGAGTCAGTGCCTGGTTTCTGGTAACTCACCCACCAGAATGTGGAAATAGCAAGGAACTTTATGGCTCTGACTGAATTCCTCAGGAGCAGAGTCTCTCACAATGCCTAATGCATGAGAAATAGCAAGGAGTGTTTATTGCCTTGTGGGTTTGTGGCTGAGAATCATGCTAGTTTCAGCCTGGCTTTGAGGACACGCTGAACTAGGTCCTTTTTTTGGACAGTCACTCGTTAGTTTTACCACTTTATGTACGACAACCTTTCTAAGCCATTATAAAGTGATAATGTTTACATTCCATTGAAAAATGTAAATAAAAATAGAGGCCATATCATAAGGTTGGTGAAAGACCTGAAGTGATACGGTCTATATGATGATGTAACACACACCTGCCACACAGTAAAAGCTAAAAAATAATAATTGCTAATGTGGTGGTGATGGATGAAGATGCTGATAATCATGATGATCACCTGAGAGAGACAGGGATGTCAGTTTCCTTACTGGCCTCTTAGATTGTTGAGAAGATTGAAAAGAGTTTAACCAAATGCCTGGCACACAGTAAACGCTATTATTGATTTTTTAAAGAAAAATACGTAAATAAGTTTCCCACACTCTCCTACCTAGATCAGGCTTCTGCTGCATGAAACCAGCAGACAAAGTAGGTGTGTGCTACCACTCAGACATTTTCTGGGCATTGTTGTTCAATTTCATGATCAAGAGGGAACAATTCAGTCCCTCCTGGCTGTGCTGTTGTCTCTAACGACAACAGGTGCTCTGCCACAGTACAACAAACATTTCTTTTCCTTGTTTCCTCATGTTCCTCTTCTTTTGTGTTCTCCCCACACCCCCTGCCTACCCCGACCGCCTTTTGGTTTGTATTCAAGTTATTTTCCTTCTGCTGTGATCTTCCCCCTCACATCTGCTCTTATCCCTCCTTTGCTGCTAAGCCACATGAGTCATGAGGGCCGCTCTGACAGAGGTGCGACTGTTCTTTGGCAATCAAAGAGCTTCTCAGGCCTGCTCAAAGTCATACGGTAATGCTGCAAATGCCAGCCCAAATGCCAGCAGAAAGTTGGACCCCCTTTCATCTCTCCCTTTTGAACAACTTCTTTGTGGGGTCTCCACACAAATAGTGTCTTGAGACAGAATGCGTTTTAACCCATTTGTTTTGCTTTTCTTCCTCAATCCTTGCAGGAGTGGAAAGTTGCAACCAGTGAGAAATCTCCTCCTTAACAGAGGGAGCCTTCCATGAAACTGCACTGGTAACTTGGGCTAAAAAACGAGGTAATTTCCCTGAAGTGTGGGTTTGTCACATCTGCTGAATTGTTCAGGGGGCCTCATCTCAGATTGCATCTGTACCTTACTGGTAACTCATGGAGTTACCCAAAAGGCTGTGAACTTGTCTTTAAAAAATCAATGGGTTTTCTCATTTGAAAATTGGAATCCGATTCAAGTTTATCACATCAGATTTTTGTATTTTAAATATCTTAAACTGGTCTGCAGTGAACCACTATGAACATCCCAGGCTCAAAACTTATTTAGGCAGAATTTTGGGTTCTGGAAATAATACCAGAAGCTTATCCTTTTGTCAGACATTTGTAAAGTTTTCCTCCTCACATTAGTAAACATCCAAAAATGAGATCAAGATTCCTTCTAAATCCCATTATCTAACTACTCATGTTTAGTGACTTGTTATTTACATTTAGCCTAAAAGCCCTAACATAGGTGTGGTAATAATGGCAGAAATGAACTGTCTTAATTCCAGAACTGAGCTGATACCTCCTGAAGATTAGACCCTTGTGAGATGTTCCCGGGATAATTAGCAAGAGCCTGAAGGATGTATGGTTTGGCCTTTAGTCTTATTCTAGTTCTAACAAGCTTTGTTCCTTGTCCAGGTACAGGTGTATCAACAGTTACCAGAGGAGCAAGAGATTATTTCTGCTGTTCCACAATCCATCCCTAACCTGCACTGAAATTGGTATTGAACATCTCCTGTGTGTAAGGATATAGCCTACATTATCCCTAATCTTTATAAGAACTCTGTAAAATGTTATTATCCCAAGTCTTCAGATAAAGAAACTGAGGCTCAAAAGAATTATGTGATTTAACCCAAGTATGGCAGGTTATAGCTTCAAAATATGGTCTTAGTCATGTTTCCTGTTGGATGGCTCATCCAGAGACTTGGCACTCTCCCACTCAGAGGGGAAGTTCATTTTCTCTCCCCTGTAAACTTGGCAGGTCTTGTGATTGGCTCAACACATAAAATGTTGTAGAAGTGATGCTGCATGACTTCTCAAGTTGGTTTAATAAAAGGTGACATTGTTCTGTCTAGCTTCTTCCTTTGGGAATACTTATCTTCGGAGCCCAGCCACCATGTTGTGAGGAAGCCGAGGCTACACAGAAAGGTCACATGTGGACGTGCTGTCCATTAGCCCTGGCTACAGTCACAGCCAACAACCAAGTGCTAAGCTTTTCAATGATTCTAGTCCCCAACCTCAAGCCACCCCAGCTGGAGCTTGGTGTAGTAGAGACAAGCTGATCCTGCTAAGTCTTGACCTGATTGTAGATTCATAAGCAAAGTAAACATTATTGCACTAAATACTAATTTTCAGGATGGTGTGTGACATAACAATAAAACCTGAAAACTAAACTTATATAGCTTCCATGGATGATCCAAGATTCCAACTCAATCTCAAGGCCACCATACGCTCTATGATTACTGTATGACTTTACACCACTGTAGGCTGTTTCACTGTCCCAGATCCTTATTCTCCCAGGTCTGACTCCTCAAATAACTCTTCTCAGTCATAGTCTTCTTTCAGCCTGGGACCCAGAGCCATTCTGCCTCTGCTTGCTGTACATGTGCTCATTACTATCTAGTGCCTAATTAACATCTGGCCATCAATATACAGAAACCTGAATATCAGCACACACATTCCATATATAGACATGCTTTATGCACTCCAGGAGAAGCTCTCCACATTATATTCTGGTTTTTATCATTGTTTCCTAAGTGCATAATAGTAAATCTTCACAATAGCTAATATAGTACAGCGGTAATATACAGGTTTTGAAATCTGAATGTCCTGGTTCAAATCTCATCTCTTCCATTTACCTGCTGTTTGACCTCAGGCAATTTGTTAACTTCTCTGTATCCTAGTTTTCCCAATTATAAAATAGGGGTAATAACAGTTCCTTCCTCATAGAGTTGCTACTGTGAATTAATGAATTAAATCCTTAGAACAGCAGTTGACATATTAGCTCTCAGTAAATATCATTTTTTATGGGTCAGCTATAATTTAGAAACATGTTTCATCACACATTTTTTTCTTTGGTCATTGGATAGGAAAAATGTTAATTTCTCTTGTTGGCTGTTTTTCTCTGTGGTTCTGTGTAACCTGCTTTTGTTTAATGTGGAAGGTAGAGCAAATTCTGCTGGGTGAGCATCTTGGAGTAGAGAGGACCAGAGACTGGCCAGAAACATTGGCATCCAAGGTTCAGCATTGCCCTTATCTTCACCACGTCACTTGTTCTGACAAATGAGAGCTCCTGGGTTTTGTGCATTGTAGTGTGCGTGAATAGCTGTGTAAATCAAAATTTATTTTGGAAGACACTTGAGAAAATGGGGTATATTTCCATAAGGACTCAGGGGAACCAACAGACAGGCAGCACAAAAGGTTGGGGAAATCTTTCTGCCTTAATACAGATAATAGAGAAACACAAAGGATCGGATAGGACAAGGTAGTGGTTGACAGAGCATCAGTGATTGCACGGGACAGGACTGCAGAGGATCCTTAGTCCAATCTCCTCTCTTACAGATGAAGTCTCAAGGGCAGAGCAATTGCTCTGAGATGGTGCTGCCTGCATGCCCTTTAGGAGCCTGTGGCTTGGTTACCTTTGACTTTGGGGTCTATTAATTAATTTAGACTGTTCTGATGAAATGACTTGGGTTCTCCATCTTCATAATTAACTTTCTGTTCAGCTTCTTTTGCTTGAAGAACAACTGAGGTAGACAGGTAGCTGTGACAAAGCAATATATATTTAGAAGTGCCATTTGCTGAAACTAGCCGAGTGTCAGAAATTGCAGGAAACATGTAATTATCCAGTCTGTCTCATGGCTGTGGAGCCCTATTGGTGTGATGGCTACATTAGTTTTAGGATATTATTTCTGGCTTCAGTTCAGGTCAATCTAGGGACCCCAGGAGGCACACAAACTCTCTGCCATCTCTCTATTTTCAGGACCTATCCTTGCTACATGGGAACAAATGTGATATCAACACGACATATAAATTGAAAAGCTTCCCTTGGCCCTTTGTGTGCTGCCCAGCTTTTTATGTCAGTGCCTCGATTTCTATCACTTGTCTGCCATGCTCTTGAAATCTTTGCTGTCTCAGTGTGCTGTTTAGATGTTTAATGCCTCCTCTGCTGAAGTCCATTCCCTTGGAGCTGGTGTTAATGAGGTCCCACGAAGGAGAGCTACATTTTGTAGCACAATTTCAGTTGCCTGGAGAGATGGATGGTATGAAACAGGCAAAAGGGCTCCATCAAGTCGGCTTGGAGAAGAGGACCACCAGGAGCCCTGAATGGAATCCAATCAGGTGGTGCTGTGGACTAGGGGAGGGGGAGCAATCCCTTTGACAGGAAAACAAATTGAAAGGGAAAGAAAAATCAGAAGACAAATGCCAGTTTTCAAAATGGGGGCTGGGAATAGAGGGCCACTGCATTTGACCAACTCGAGGCTTCACACTGCAACGGTTTCCTAATATTCTAGGGGAGATTTCTATCTGACATTGGTCAGGGTCTTGATGAAGTTGTCTCCTGAGGAAAGAAACTTCCCTTTGTAGCTTTTGGGTGCCAGGATTAATCTCAGCTCGGAGGATGGCCCCATTTGAGTGGTTAAAAAATTGTGTAGATAGCTGGTGATTATGCCTCCTTTCCTCTCCTGTCAGCTTGCATTTAATGGCAGCTCTTTGCAGATAAAAAGTTGGGAGTAGTATTGCATCATGTGTATGCATCTGTGCTCACACACACACATACACATGTGCACATGTGTGTGCACGTGCACACACACACACTGAAATGTGAGTGCTGGAGGAAGTTTTAGATGAAGGTGTCCTTGTTATTTTCTTGAAAGTAAAAATTGCACTGTCTAAAAGGTACAAAACACCTCTGACAGCTCTTTGAAACATTTTGCCTTTTGCTTCGATATTCTATGCATTTCTAAGCAGGGAGAATTTAGGCAACTGCAGGGAATAGGAAAACCTACCACACACTTGTAGGTTTTAGCCAGAGAAGTGATATTCTTTTCCTTGGGCAGTTCTGAAGGAGTGATTCCCCATTTGACTCAAGTGTAGCTTTATGCCTGGGAGGCTTAGACAACCTGATGCAAATCCTCCTTCTCCATTTACTGAGCGTGGGATCTTCAGCATTTTAATTAACAGTTTGGAGGTTCAGTGACCTCAAGTGAAAAATGGAGATATCTAACATTGCTGTGATGTTGTTGTAAGGGTGGAATGTAGTCTACTGCTTACCTAGTAACAAAGGCTCAATGAAGGTTACCAATTTATTACCACGGCAGCCTGAAGTACTGGCCATTGTGCTAGAGCTTTGGACATTAAAGCTGAGATCATGCACTTTTAGCAAGAATAAGACATTAAGGAATGAGCTTCACCAAAAGCGACGTGATTTGGAATATAACGCTAAGTTCTTCTGGAATAGTGTCTCATAAGTGGGCTGACATTAACATAGTTACTTTTGCAATGCACAATGTGACCAGTTGTATTAGATAGCTTATCTTTTCAAAATGCCCATAAAGGGAGGGTTTGCAGTGGGTGGGGTGGGCATTATTGTTTCTTTAACAACAATGAGGACCTGAGAGAGAGAGGGTGTATCTGCACACGGTTCTCAAACCTGATGTGGAGTCATGTGAACTACAGAGGTTATGGTCTCCTGCTCAAGCTAGAAGATGGGGCTGGGGCTTTTGACAGTGGTATGGCGGGGTGGGGGATTGAGCTCTGATATAATGGGGCCTGGGATTGAGACATAATATTGGTGGTTGGCTATCAATCTATTGATTCTACAAATTGGGTTGTTTCTATTTCATGCCACATGGACTATAGATGAGCAGTACATTTAACCAAACGGCTGCTCTTTGACATTTCATCCATTCAACATTCACTCATTCATCTAATGAGTACCTCCTAATGCCAGGAACTGGCATCTCCCATCTCTTTACAAAGGCTGCATTCCCTCTGCCCCTGTAGTCCATATCTTAGTGAACAATCCAGCCACATAATGAGCCGCCTGAGCCAGATAACTTGGTGCATCCTTAGCTTTGCGCTTTCCCACACTTACCGTTCCCAAAGAGCACATCTTACTCATTCTCCCTTTCTTCAGATCTCTTATCTCACGCCTCTCCTCTCCATCAGCACTGTTGCTGTCTTGTCCCTTATTTGGCTTTCTGAGGTGGCCTCCTAGTGTCCCTTCCCTAGCTCCTGCTTAAACCCTTCAAAGTCTTCTCCCAAACTGATGGCCAACTCCCTTAGCATGACTTAAAGGCCTTTGCTTATCTGACCCCTCCCTACCCAGCTTCATCCCCTGCCTCCGCCTTCCCAGCCTCCCTGCTTCAGAAATACTAGTACATTTTCTAGAACTGCATGTGCTTTCTTGCTTTGGAACCTTTTCTGTATCTCATCTGTATTTGTCTTTTCCCTACCATGATGGCCTGGAAAATGCTTGCGTTTCCTTCTAGCTTCCTCTTAAATGTCCCCTCCTCTGGGAAGGCTCTCTTTTCTTTGTCGCTTCTATGCAATGTTGATTATGTTCTCCATAGTCATCCTTCTCTGAATAATCCTCCAACGTGGAACTAGGCACATCAGATGGTAATTATTTGCATATAAGTCTATCTTAAAAGACAGTCTTCTTCTCCTCAAAGTCAGCAACCTTATGCCCTCAGTGCCTCAATGCTATTTATGGAATTAATTAGGGAAATCAATCTA